ATAAATGTTAGACAGGGCAAGTCCCCTGCCACAGTTGAATACCCCAACCAATGGGAACAGGATAAGTGTACATCAAAGACATGTTCCTTAAGGAAATCCCCATCCCTAAATCCTGATTGGTGAAATAACTTGACACAGATGTTTGTGGATTTGGGACTTTAAAACTCTGTAGGATCTTAACTCGGGGGTCATGGTTCAGTTCCCAAATCTGGACCATGGTCCTGGACTACCAGTCCTGGGGTGTATGCTTAATAAGCTACCCCTGTCTGACTGACATCAGTGTATGTGTGGTTTGTGAAGCAGTTCCTGGATCCTAACAATTCTCTTCTCTAATTAAACTGATTTTTAAAAAATGGGTTAAAATTTTCCAAAACATTCTCTAAATGCTATTCCTGGCCTACTTTCCTATGTTGCCTTTGAGAAGTGTAATGGTACTACTCTTTTCTGTATCTTTTCAGAGCCTGTTATCTCTTAGAAATCAACACTAAGAACAAATTATTAGAAGATCTTTCCTCCCATTTGTGATGCTGATTCTGTATGTTTCAGATTCTTTTATGTTGGATAGTCTTAAGTGAATAGTGATTCTCATCCATGTGTTCCCATTGGACACTTGCTCTGAATAATCACTGATGGTGGGACGGGGTGGGGGTGGAGGTCAAGCTTCACATTAGACTAAAAAGCTCAATAGGCAAATAACTCTGGGTTTAGTCAAGTATCAAATTTTACAGGATATTTCCTCTGAAAATTTCCCAAAAGATGTGCTTTGGTAAAGCCACCTCACTGGTACTCAAGAAGCTGGGAAATGAAGAAAACTGAAAATCTACCAATTCAGTATTAAAATATATGCAGGCTGGAGAGATGTCTCAGTGATTAAGAGCACTGATTGCTCTTACAGGGGTCATGAGTCCAATTCCCAACAACCACATGACGGCTCACAACCATTTGTAAAATATATGCATTCTTCCAGATGCTGATATGGTAGCTTACATCATTCCTAACCCTGTACATAGTTCTCCCTGCACTAGACCATTCACTTAATGACATACCTCTTTTTGGTGGGAAGAGGGGATCAGGTCATTAGCTAGATGCACACAATGGGAATACCTAAAAGTTATTTGGGTCTGAACTAGGTGTGCTGAGAAGTCAATCACTTTCTAATATTTTTAAGCACCGTGTTTGTTTAAAGCAACCTGCATATTCGCATTAGCTACTGGCTACATCTACTTGTTTTGTCATTAATCCTCAAGTGCAGATACTTTACCTTCCACACACTCAATCTGTTTGCTCTCACTCTTTTCATGTGTCACACTGTAGAGATAAAGAGCTTGATGTTCAGTGGTTAGAGCAGTCATTTAGCAAGCTCAAGGCTCTGGGCTTACCTCAAGACCAGAAGAAAAAAAAAGGAACAAGTGTAGCTTCACAGAGCTCATAAATGTATATCCGGTGTGTTCTTCCCTTCCTAAGGTTGATATTATATTGATTCTTCCACGTAAACCTGTTATTCGTGAGTTTCTCCTTCAAGACTATTGAAAGCTTTGGTCTTTCATTTACCAGTCAGATCAAATAGTGAGAAAAGGTATCAGAGACCCCTTTCAACCATCAAGGACTCCAGTGTCCTCTGTTACAAAACACTCTGATTTATACATAAATAAAATTTAGTTTTACAAACACTTTTGGCAACAGAAATAAATAAATAAATAAATATTCTGAGGAGAAAAAATCTATTTTCAAAGGGAAGCAAGAAAGATAGAACATGAACATGACTGGTATTGGTGAAAGAGAGGAGCTGCAAACTATCATATGTGATAACAAAGTTAAGAGAGAAAGACAGTATGGCGCTCAGAATTCAGGCTTGAGTATCTGGAGTTTGTGGCAGGGCTAATAACTGAGGAAACAGATTTAGAATACAAATGGTAATTATATATTATAGATGTTGAGTTTTCGATGCTGCATGGTATCCAGAGAATGATGCTCAACAAGTACTGGATGCATGGGTCTGGATTAAGGAGGGAGGTCTGTGGACCAGAGCAGTAGAATTTTGAAGTTCTCCCTTTGGAGGTGGTGATTAACAAGGAAGAATTCTCCGGGAACATGAGGAAGTAATTATCAGGAAGATGCAATGGGGGCATACCTTCATGAAGGGGAGAGGTGCAAATATAGTTAGTGTTGTATACTTAGAGAACACGTAAGTTGTTTATAGATGTATAGGTCCTGGGATAAAAGTGGAGACAAGGAAAGAGTAGAAGGTTAAGACTGAGAAAGAATATGTAAGAAAAGACTGAGAAAATCTTGATGGTCCCCCTTCACTCTAGCAATGAATGGATGGAATAATGTGTTCTCTGGTTTCAGTGCTTCCCCACAAGCTGTGGGAAGACTAATGTCTACACAGTCATGACTCTTTCGTTAGGTTTCTCAACACAAAATAAATGGTCATACTAGGGATTACACAGCCTATCCACTGTGACAATCATGACTTTTGTGAAGGGTCTACTCTCCAGTTTTGCATTAAGTTTGTGCAAAAGGATTAACAAGAGGTTCAGAGTCTAGATTCAAAACTCTGTATGTGAGAAGAGTGACTAATGTATAGCCAGGGTTATGAGTAGATATAAGCCTTAAATAAGCAAAAGTTATGAGTAAGCAGAAGTAAGCCCAAGGGATCAAAGTCATGATATGGGTTAAGCAGAAGTCACAAAATAGACAGAACATAGAAGGTAGGTGTGGTGGCACATGCATAATCCCAGCACTTGGGAAGCAAAAGCAGAAGGGTCAAAGTTCAAGAACAGTATGGGCAAATATATATAATGGAGATCCAGCTCAGAAATAGAGTACTTGGCTGGCAGAAGCAAGATCCTGAATTTGCTCCCCAGCACCACACACACACACACACACACACGAGTAGAGGGAGAGACTAAATTCCTAGAGCTATTGTATATCTAGACCCATCTTTGAGGTCACAGACTACGTTATAATCTCCACGAAGCCTGGGCAATGAGATACATGAACACACATAACTTATTCAGGATAAGTTCCAGGAGGCATGATGTATCTCATTTCTGTATACTTTTCTGTCATCATTCCTAGATCTCTTGGCTTGCTTACTTTGGGCCTCCAATAATAGTCCCATCCCCTCAGTCTAAATGGACTTTTAACTCAGTTCTCTAGAGCTGGCTTACACATTCCTATGAGGGCTCCATTTGGCTCAGACCATTTTGAAGCAACCCACAAAAATTACAAACACATGAATGGCTGATTTTTTTCACAAACTTAGGAGCTTTAGAAACTAGAACATCAGCTTCTCGGTACAAAATTGGGCTGGAGATAGAAGGAGTCAAGAACTAGAATACCTCTGGATGTCTAAGCCATTCAAATTTTATCGCCATGTGTCTTCCCCTACACATAATATGCCTATAGGCTCAGAGGTTTTGTTTTGAAGCACCAGATTGCTGGATACAGGGAGAAGCTGTCCAAAGTGGAGTCTAGGAAAAATCAATCTGAGGGACATTGAAATTGATGCTATGAAATCAATTTCAAGAGGCGTGGAAGGAAGAAGCAAAGAGATGTCCTAGAAGACTCATAACTGCCAAGGAGGGGTGCTGACAACCTTAAACTGATAGATAGTACCAACAGCACCTTTCTTAGACTAATTTCTACAGTTTCTATCAATAAAAATAGCTTATTCTTCCTATGAAGGGAAGGAGTTATTGATATGTTTCTTCACACATTTCTCTTAAGGAATCCAGTCTGAAGCTCACAAATCCTAATTCAGACGTTCAACTCAAGCAAGGTAGGACATATTAAGCCTAAACGACCGTTTATCTCAGCTCTCTAGAGCTCACTACTTCTGTATAGTTGGAACAAAGACAAATGATGAGATATAATATGCCTCCAGGTTTCACTTAGAAACTGTATAACTCCAGAAGTTAAAGCTAGTCTATCTAGTTCTCTATAGATTCTTCTCTATGAAGCAGAGGAAGATACAGAAAAGCCAAGTCATTCATTCCTTCACTCGGGAAATGTACTATGTACCTATTTTGTAGCAAGCATGCTGCCAGGTACTAGGAGTACAGTGGTGAAGGAGACAGAAAAGGTCCCTAATTTCTGAGGGCTTGAAGTTCAATGGGGGAAAGAATCTTAACTATAACGGAAATAGATACACACAAGTCTAGGTCCAACATTCAGTGGCACATGGTACCAAAAGTGGGATAAGGAAGAGCATGAGGTGGAGCGTGGAGGATCTCTGCCACCCTGAGTTGTAGCTTTATGTCAGATAGAGGTCTCACCTCATCTATTCAGCTTGGCTCACTCCTGTCCCTTATCATTTGTTCTGTGTGAACTCTAGTTACCATTTGATCTGCCCATTCCTATAAACCACACATTCACAAGCACATATGAAATGTCTTTTCTCAAAAGTGTGTGGTGTTATAGAAAATTTAAAAAGGAAATTTGGGGCAGGTAGAGTTTAAAAGCTGGAAACCATTATTATCCCTAAGTTGAAGTAGGAAAGGTAAAAGCATATTATTACAGCTTTGTCAAAGTTGAGGTCATGGGAGAAAGGACATCCAAGAGGACTTCTAAAGTGTAAAGGCTCAGCCTGTGCCAAATGCAGCACCTTCTGCACTCCAGTGTTATGACTAACCTCAGTCTGAAGCCAAACACTCCCAGTACTCAGCTAATCTCTGCAGAGATCAATCTTCCAGAGTACAAACCAAAGTCATAAAATGCTTAGTCAAATAGAAAGTAACCCGGTCACCACAGTTCACTGCTGACAACCCTCTGAAAAGAAGTTCTGTCTTTTAAACTTTCACTAAAAGAACATGTGTATTCTGGTGACATTTTTTTGTTTGTTTTTGAAGTTACCCCTAACACACTATTCTACACACAGAAAATATTCTTCACTAGTGGCATTACCATGGGTTATGGGTCAGCCTGCCTGAATAGGACATAAGAGGTACAACCCATTGTGAAGACATAGAGATTGTTTCTCAAGTTCTAGAATTCCCAGAGGCTCTGATTCAACACTAGGAGTGTTTGCTCAGTTTCTTCTCAGCTCTTGAGTGTGCCACATTAGAGATCTTTCTTTTCCTAAATCAAAATGAAGGCGTTAATCTTACTGGGTCTTTATCTGCTTGGATCTGCCAGAGGTAAGTCTTCTCTTTCAACAAACTCTGGGTGAACACTAGAAGGAGGGATTCTTTTAATGTATTGCTGCCCCTTAAAGAAAGACAAGTCTTAGTTACCCAAACCAACCTGACTTAGGATCAAGAGTTAACTAAGCAAGAACAACTTTGAGAACTCCTCTATTAATTGATTTCTCCTGATTACAGATGTTCTAGTTTAACATTTACCCTACCCAAAGGCTAAATTCAGTTTCCTACTGTTGAGAAAAACGTAAGTCCCATCACCAGTACCAAAAAAAAAAAAAAGAAATAATGAAATTAAATTCAATTTAGGTTGGAACTACTCAGTATTAAAAGCTATCTGTGCTAGGCATTGTAGCACCTGTAACTCCTACACTAGAGAGGCAGAAGTGGTAGAGTGTCTGCAGTTTGAAGGAATCCAGGATCTCACAGCAAAACCCTGTTGCAGGGGAAGAAGACTATCTGCCTTCTCTCTCCCTATCTCTATTCTTCTTGCCTTTTACCCATAGAGGAATTGGAGGAAGGGTTGGTAGCTGACTTCTGATGACATGAATGAGGGTCCTTTGATTTCTGATTCTGCCTTTGTCAGGTAGGGACGTTCATTTCTTTTCATGTGCTTTCCATGCTTAGATGAGAGGATCCCACATGTGGTTCTTGTGTCTTTAAGTCTTAGCAGTGGTCCCCAAACTTACTTAAACACTTCTGTCTTTCCCAGTCTTCTGGAGTGGTTAGATGACATCTCCCGACATCTACACTGTCCTTACGTGTCTCATCTGGACCTGCCAGGAAACCCAGCAGTCCTACTTGTCGGGCTCCACAGGAAACCAGTCTTGATCCCGTTCTTCTATCTTCACCATTCTTGTATTTCTCCTCCATCCTAGGAGCACCGCCAGGTCAGCCTGATGAGCTTCTAGACTCTGTAGACCACCAGGCTTCGGTTCAGCAACTTTCAAGTGAGTATTTCTCACTCGCAAACCCTTCAGATGCCGAGGCTTTATATGAAACTTCTTCAGGTGAGAAGACTCTGAGTGGTCATAGCTCAAGTGACCACGAGTCGGGTGAGCATGCAGTAGCTGAACATTCTACAGGTGAGCACTCGTCAGGAGAACACACTTCCGGGGAGTCTTCAGAGCACATGTCAGGTGAGCACATGTCAGGAGAACATACTTCGGGGGAGCACACTTCGGGGGAGCACGCGTCCACCGAGCACACTTCAAGCGAACAACCTGCAACTGAACAGTCCTCGAATGAGCAGTCTTCCGAAGGATCTTCAGGCGAACAAGTTTCAGGTGAAAAGCTTGAAGAGGCAGGTGAACAGGTGTCTAGCGAGACAAATGACAAAGGAAATGAGGCTATGAGTACACCACTTCCAAGCACATCTTCAGGTAAGCCACAATGGAAGGGTATTAGTCTTTGACTAGAGGTTGAGGCCAACCTGGGCTACATAGTTCAACAAGAGCCTAGATGACACCCTGACACCCTGTCTCTAATAGGGGAGAGGAAGGAGGGAGAGTGAGAAGTAGGGGAGGGAGGAAATAAATTCACCTATAGGGAAACATCATAAAACAATCATTAACATGTCACAAATGACTCTGTCAAAGACTCTGTTTCATCCAGATGGTGGTAACACAAACCTTTAATTCCAGCACTTGGGGAGCAGAGACAGGCAGATCTATGAGCCTGGTCTACATAGCCAGTTCCAGGACATCCAGGGCTACACAGAGAAACCTTATCATTAAAAACAAAAAAAAAGAAGAAGAGGAAGAAAGTTTCTTCACAATATCAGAAAGTATCTTTCAGGTTTCATTCAGCCCTAAATATAGCACAACTTAGAGAACCTTCTTTTAAGAAAAAAACGCTACCACTCTCCCATTCCGTTGTTCATAAGAAGTTAGGATCAGGGGGCTGGAGAGATGGCTCAGAGGTTAAGAGCAACAGCTGCTCTTCCAGAGGTCCTGAGTTCAATTCCCAGCAACCACATGGTGGCTCACAACCATCTGTAATGAGATCTGATGCCCTCTTCTGGTGTGTCTGAAGATAGCTACAGTGTATTCATACAAATAAAAAATAAATCTTAAAAAAAAAAAAAAGAAGTTAGGATCAGCAAGAGGGCTCGGTGGTAACTGAGCCACGCTTGACAACCTGAATTCAATACCCAGGGTCCACGTCATAGAACTGACTCCCTCGAATTATCCACTGACCTCTCTACATGTTTCCATTCACAGTAACAAACAAGAAAAATCTAGAGTTTGATGAATTTGATGACTCAAATTACTATCAGATACAAATACTTCATTTCACCCAATTCTGTTAATTATCCAACGTTTTTACATGAGTAAAGTCAGGTAAAACTATTATCCCCAATGTCAGTCACATTTCTAGAAAGTAGTAAGTTGCCGGGCAGTGATGGCATAGGCCTTTAATCCCAGCACTTGGGAGGCAGAGGCAGATACAGGTGGATTTCTGAGTTCGAGGCCAGCCTGGTCTACAGAGTGAGTTCTAGGACAGCCAGGGCTACACAGAGAAACCCTGTCTCAAAAAAAAAAAAAAGGATGCAGAAGCACTTCAGATTTTTGTCACTGATCTTCAAGATAACTCGTAAGAGACTATGACTGTAGTTCAGTTACTTAAGTTTTCTGCTATGGAGTAAACCACGACAGAAGGACATGTACTTATAATTTCAAGAAGCCAATGGAGTATAGACCAGAGTAAAAGTCACTCAGATAAATTTAGTATCCATCAGCAATAAAGGTTACAAATAAGTAAGAGAGAAGGTAGCCCCTCTGATTCAGAAAAAGAACATGGTAAGTCCAGACTTTTAATTTCATCACTGGACAATAAGCAAAACCTTGTCTTCAATAACCAAAAGGTGAAAGGGGAGTTAAGAGGGGGAGAGGGGCTGGGGTTGTAGCTCAGTGGCAAAACACTTGCCTTACTGTACCTAAGGTCCTAGAGGTTCAATCCCCAGTACTGCCAAAAAGAACTAAGAAATGTGTTGTATGTAGGTGGTCTTTTTTTTTTACCACCCCTACTCCCCATATGTGTAATTCGACTAAGCGGTCTGTCGGGAAATATCATGCTTTTTTCAAATTTCAGACGTATCAATAAATTGCCACACGTGTGCTTATATGAATGACGATGCAAAATGCCTCCGTGGAGAAGGAATATGCACCACTCAAAATTCCCAGCAGTGCATGCTAAAGAAGATCTTTGAAGGTAGTAGGAACTTCCTGGCAGAAACTTGCCAGAGAACACATCAATCATCTCTTAAAAATGGGGGGGGGGGGTCGGGACCAGTAGGAATCAACGAACTTGGGGATTCAGAAAACTTCATTTCTTCAAGCTCTGAGCTCTTAAGTTGTTCCTTAAGCTACTCCTACACTGAATCAGAACTGTCTAGTGTGTTCATGATTCTATCTTCCTAAGACACAGCCCAATGGATAAACAAATGGTAGGCATTTAGTAGACACTGAATAAACTAGTCAGTGACTGTCTACAAACAATGCACATGGTTAACAAGTGTGAGTGCACATTCTCAGATCTCTCAACCCTATGCTTAGCATTCATCTCTAAAGCAAGGGCACTTGGCTACTTCCATCCCATAAACCATACTGCCCAGCTCTACTTTGTTCGATACCTAGATAGAAATATCTTCCCTATATTTCTTTAACTTTACATTTAACCACTACTGAATAAACATAAACAATACATATACCATGATATGCCTTACAGAAAGGGGCATCAGAAACAGTGTACAGAAAGACTGTAGTCTAACATAAGAAATATTATAGAGAAAACTGGTGAGGGTGCTATGTCTCTTCTCAGTACTTGGGAGGCTGAAGTAGGAGAATTAACCTGGGCTATATAGCAAGACCATGCCTAAAGAGAAGAAAAAGGAGGCAAAGCACATGAGTGCTGGAAGTTCCCAGGTAAAGGAAAGCAGGTAAGGCTGGAGAGGAAAGGGTATACAGAGCAAAAAACATGTAAAATCCAGTAGTACCCAGTTTGGGCTATACATTAGGATCACCTGAGCAGTTTTTAAATCTACTGATGCTCAGGAATGTCCAAGATGGTGTAGTGTGTAAAGGCACCTTACCTACCAATCCTACTGACCTGAGCAGCAACCCACACAGCAGGAGAGGACCAACTCTTACAGGCTGTCTCCTAACCTTCATACATACATGGCCACACACACACACACACACAAAATGTTTTTTTTTAAAAAATACTAAAAACATAAACATCCCAATGCTAAGCTTGCACCAGTGACATTCCAGAAATGACGAGAACTACTGACTTAGTCATACGAAGACATCCCAAATGCAAACACAAAGTCAAAGTCAGAAATACAACATGTAGGCAGGAATCACAGTGAAATTCTTTTGGGTTTTGGCAAACAAAGGAATGAAGACAATAAATGTTGACTGGCCAAAGAAAAAGGTCACCCAAGAGTCTCAACAGCAGAATAAAGTTAGGAAAGCAAGGAAGTAAGGGGAAGATTAGGTAGAGTTCCATTTAGGACAGAAAAAAAAACTTAAGTTGTTAGCATATCTGCATGAAGGTGATCAACTTAAGTGGAAAGGGAATTTGACTCAGGTCAGTAGAGATAACTGAACTCAGAAACAGAAGACAGAAAAATCAGGAAATCTTGATAGAAGAATATCAAGAAAGAGTATCAAGTTCACACAGAAAGGGGGAAAAACATAGAAAAAAGGGCTATGGAATTTGATTAATAGGATTTTTCTAGTGCATCTTTGAGGAGAAAAAAAATTCAATTCTGAGAACCTGAGGCTCAGCTGTGAATAGGAAGGAAGTTAAGGAAGCTAGCCAGCTTGCTAGAGATGTGTAGGGAAGTCTAATGGAAGAGTAGCATGGTCAAGTGAAAATATTGAGCTTGGTGAAATTTTAACCATTACAGGAAGAAAGTGAAGATATAAACAAGACGGGTGGGTAAAGAAAGCAGAAAAAAGAAAGTGATCGAAGAATAGACACAGAGAGGTCCTGGTCATCCCTGCACGGGAAAACGGGGGTGGGGGGGTCGGGGGGAGGAGGAGGGGCATGGAAAAGGTTGGAAGACGCTTTCTGCTACTGCCTGTCTGTCTCTTTCAGGTGGAAAACTCCAGTTCATGGTTCAAGGGTGTGAGAACATGTGCCCATCGATGAACCTCTTCTCTCATGGAACAAGAATGCAAATTATGTGCTGTCGGAATGAACCTCTCTGCAACAAGGTCTAGCAGTCTGTGCCCTACTTCTGGCTCTGACTCGGGCAGCTTCACCAACTCTACTTGGCTCAGTTCATGCTCAACTTCAACAACCAATCACATCGGGCTCTGCCTGATCACCAGATAAGAAGCTCAACCTTTCTTTCTCAACACCTCATTGCCTATGCTCTCTGCCTTACTCTGCTCCCATCTTTCCCCAGATGTTCTTTTTTGCAATAAATTGCGATTAAAGAACACGGGCTTCGATCGGATTGCTTTTCATCAGCCTAGTTTTCGAAGTTATTGCTTCTGTCCATGACCAAAGTGAATGTTGTGCACAGTAAAAGCTGAACGGGGGGCCTCCTAGAGTGGATACAACAGAGAATACAAAGTGCAAATTAATCTTTCAGTGGCATAAACAGTATTGTAGGATTGTCTCCCACACCCTTCCTTCTACTTGTAATACACACAACTCAGCACTGTCCACTATCAACATAATGGGAACAAAATACTGTAAAAAAAAAAAATTTGGTGGGGGGGGAGGTTTTCGAGACAGGGTTTCTCTGTGTAGCCCTGGCTGTCCTGGAACTCACTCTGTAGACCAGGCTGGCCTCGAACTCAGAAATCCGCCTGCCTCTGCCTCCCAAGTGCTGGGATTAAAGGCGTGCGCCACCACCGCCCGGCGTAAAAATATTTTTTAAATTCCAAGTTTTCCTTTCCCAGCCCCAGCTCCCGGAATGACTCAGACTACTTAGTTATTAAATGTCCAGGCCATAATTTTTGGTTCATTCCCTGACTAGCTCTTAACTTATTGAACCATTTAAGCTATTCTATGTCTATCACTTGGTTAGATAACTGTCCTTCAGTTCCAGCCCGCTTCCTTTCTCCTCAGGGTCTCCCTTAGCGTCTGAGTTCTTCTACCTACTGGTTTACCTCTGTCTCCTTGGTCCGTCTCCCATCTTGTCTGTTTTACTCTTTTATCTTTTTTGTTTGTTTGTTTTGTTTGTTTGTTGTTGTTTTGTTTTGTTTTTCGAGACAGAATTTCTCTGTATAGCCCAGGCTGTCCTGGAACTCACTCTGTAGACCAGGCTGACCTCGAACTCAGAAATCCACCTGCCTCTGCCTCCCAAGTGCTGGGATTAAAGGCGAGCACCGCCACCGCTGGCCTATACTCTTTTATCTTACCATTTCCCAAAATCCCCTCTCTTCCTGCCAATGTCCCGCCTACTTCCTGCCTCAGCTCATTGGCCATCGGCTTCTTTATTGACAGGTGGTGCTTATAAGAGATTCTCTCTGCATTTCCCCCTTTTAGTCTAACAAAATGCTTTTTCTTACATCAATAAATTATATACAGTATTAACAATTATGAAAACCATCAGGTAAAAAAATTACCTTTACAATAGTCTATTTGAATTTGGCAACTTTGGAGAAAGTATTCGATTATCTATCTGACCTTGGTGAGTTAGAGTTCTGTACTTAAAAACATTTTCTAACATAACGTTATTTCTAACGCAACTTAATTGTTAGACTATCTAGTCTTCAAACCCCATCATAGACTTGAGAAGGAATAAATCTTACTTGAGTGCAGACCAAGCAGCTGCCAAAACTATTGAAATGACAGACGTTGTTTAGCTGCCTGGACAGTCACCCACACACTGTATACCATTAGAGCACCCATCTTCAGCCTTCTGGCCCAGTATATGACAGACGTTTTTGTGAAGCAGGAATTATGAAAGACTTGCGTCCCTTGTCATTGCAAAGCCCAGCAATTGACTTTCCTGTATCGTGTTTATCCGTTTTGGATAGTATTCTGTCTGCAATTGAGGCAAGGGCATTTTCTTGCCAAGTGGCTAGTTTATCACATTTGAAGCAAACTCCATAAGGAGGTTCTTTGGTGCTCTATCTTTATTGAAGAATGAGGGCGGTGCCAGAACGGATCTGTCTCCTTGTCAAAAAAAGATCTCTTAATAATAAAAATCTTTAAATGTCATATTCTGTGGATCTGAGGCTTTAAGACTATGTTGTTTTTTTAGCCGGGTGGTGGTGGTGCACGCCTTTAATCCCAGCACTTGGGAGGCAGAGGCAGGCGGATTTCTGAGTTTGAGAGTTCGAGGCTAGCCTGGTCTACAGAGTGAGTTCCAGGACAGCCAGGGCTATTCAGAGAAACCCTGTCTCAAACAAAACAAAACAAAAAAAAAGACTATGTTGTTTTTTTTAATTATTTACTATCCAATTTTGAAAGAAATATCTCTGTTATAAACTAGTATCTAACATGACCATGAGTTTATATGACTTTATATGAGTTTGCATTTCTTAATTATCCTAAACTGTTTGTAACAGCAGATTTTAAATGGACTAGAATTTAACATTGCATTTTTAAGAATTACATAGATATAATACCTTAAACAGACTTGATAATATGTATATTGTAACCAACTATAATCTTAATTTTTATCAATACGCAAAGATTCATATCAATGTAAGATTTTTGGCTTGCTAATACTTTTTGGTGTAAGAGTAGGTTCAATAATCTAATTTTTTCTATATTATTTCCCCCTTTTTTCTTTTCACCCCTTCTCCCTATTTTTTCCCTAATATTAGATAGGAGAAAAGGATAAAAGAGAGAAATCCTGAATCTAACCTTTCTATTTTGTTTCCTCCCTGATCCAAGACCATTACACTTTGTTACCGCCCCTTAAAAAAACTATCCACCACACCTCTTGGGAATAGGGCATAATTCTCTGAAAATTGCTTCCTGTTGATTCGGGGCATTTTTCTTTGGGGGGAAGGGAGCACGAAAATTGGAATATTGGCCAGTCTTAAGAAAACTAGCTATAACAGTTGTTGTGCAGTCTCTGCATGCTGAGAAAGTTCAGGCTTAAGTCCTGACTGGATCAGTCTGTAAGGTTGGACAAACTGAGGTCATCTGAGGTCAGCAGCTTTCTTTGAAGCTATCCTGGAAACAAGTTCTGATGATACAGTTATTAAGGCAGTCGGAGATGATGGAACAATAGGTATCTTAGCATCTCAGCATCTCAGCATCGCAGAGGGTGAATCTTGTCAGAGCTGTCTTTTTTTTTTCTTTTCTGTGAACATATAAAACTTTTAGACATAATACACATTTCTGCATTAACATATATATATGGAAATGTGCAGTGTGCAGTTTAGCTAAAGATGACTCTTTGCTCTCTGAGCAGGCATCTTTCTTAAGTTAGTTTGGACTCCATAACCAAACTGCAATTTAAATGTCTGTCTATGCCAGATGAAAGGATGGCAAAAGCCTTGATTATTCTTGAGCCAGCGAGACATATTAGCTATGCTTAGCTTAGGATCTGGACTAGAGACATTTTCATGTCTCAGCCAGTCTCAAAGCTCTCGTCAGTGTAGGGGGATCAGTGTATACTTTACACTTTTTTGTTCTTGATTATTTTTTTTCTTCTTTCCTGCTGCTAAAGTCTACCACTTGGTCAGTTACCTCTCCTTCAGTCCCAGCCTGCTTCTCCATTCATCTCCTCAGCGGAGTTTCTCTACCTGTCACCTCATCTCATCCTCTGTGGCTCTCTTTTTCCCAGAATCCTCTTCCTTTCTGCCAATGTCCCACCTACTTCCTGCCTCAGCTCTGTGGCTCTCTTTTTCCCAGAATCCTCTTCCTTTCTGCCGATGTCCCACCTACTTCCTGCCTCAGCTCATTGGCCATCAGTTTTTTATTGACAGGTGGTGCTTAGCAGAGACTCTCTCTACAAAATACTCCATTCCATTGCAGAAGTCCAGAATACTGCAATCATTTTCAGAGGACCATCTACTTGGCCATGAGGAGCAGGTGCAACACAGAACAGCCCTTCACCTCAAGGTGTTTTCACGTGTATAGTTGTTCCTTGTCTCAGGAAAGTCAGAAAGGTAGTTAGGAAAGATGGCATCACTCTTAATAATAAGACAAATTTGTATAGACAAATAAGGAAATAAAATTTTATTTATTTATTTTCCACAGTATTGCAAAATGACCAATATTACAGAGCTAGTGGGAACCACAGCTGGATTCCAAAACCTTGGAATGCATGACCTTGAAGTGAGTCTTCATACCAACATCTGGGTGTTTTTTCAAGACCAAAAGTCACTCCTCTCTTCCTACTGTCTTCCATCTCCTTTCAGCCATCACTTCCACATGTTTGATGGTTCAGTGTCAGCTGCTGCTCTTAGTGTAAGTTCCAAAGCAACAGGCTTTAACATCAATAAAATAATTTACCACTTTTTAAATCTTTGGTATCATGACTAATATTATTTTGGATATCTTAACTCTGTTGTTCGGGCTAACCTAGAACTCACTATATAGCTTCAGGCTGGTCTCAAATGCGTAGCAATTCTCCTGGCTCAGCCTCCCATGTGCTGGGATCATAGCTATGAGCACCCATGCATAGCTTGGTATGCTTATGATGCATACATAATAAAACAGTATCAGTTACAGAACATGTAAACACACACACTCAAATGCACGAATGCACACACACACACATGCATGCACGCACGCACACACACACTCATGCACCATATGCACAAATGGCCCTTTCAAACACCACCTAAATAACAGGTTCCATTGACAACAAATTTAGGCTGAAAAAAAAAAATAGCCAGGTGGTGGTGGCACACGCCTTTAATCCCAGCACTTGGGAGGCAGAGGCAGGCGGATTTCTGAGTTCGAGGCCAGCCTGGTCTGCAGAGTGAGTTCCAGGACAGCCAGGGCTACACAGAAAAACCAAAAAACAACAACAACAAAACAACAACAAAAAAACAAAAACAAAAAAAAGAGTAGTGTTTGTTTTTCAAGGACAAACTATTTTTAAAACATTTTTATTATTATTTTGTAAGTATATATGCATGTGTGTGTGGATGGACGAGTGCCCAGAGTAGTGTGTTGGATTCCGTGGGGCTATTTACAGGTTGGTGGCTGTGAGCTGCCCAATGTGGGTGCTGGGAACTGGATTTGCACGCTCTAGGAGAGCAGCAAGAGCTCTGAATGAACCACAGAGCCCTATCTCCAGGCCCCAAGTGCCAAACTTAAAAAAAAAAGATTGTAAGACATGCTAAAAGCCGGGCGGTGGTGGCGCACGCCTTTAATCCCAGCACTTGGGAGGCAGAGAGTTCCTCTCTCTGAGTTCGAGGCCAGCGTGGTCTACAGAGCGAGTTCCAGGACAGCCAGAACTACACAGAGAAACCCTGTCTCAAAAAAAAAAAAAAAAAAAAGACATGCTAAGAAAGAAGAAAACGGTTCTGAACAATCCCTAAAGAAACACTTTAAATCAAGGGTCCCAAGTGTGTTCAAAGAACAACAAGTTTCAGTCAGAGAACTGAGAGTAATCAGGAAAACAATGTGTCAACAACCAGTATCAGTCCTAGAGAAGTTAACAGCAGATTTAAATTAAGAATCAGCTATTTCTTTCTTTGGGTTCTGGGGGTTCAGTTTAAGGCTCGATCTCACAGCAAGTCAGATGTTCTAGCACTGACTGAGACACATACTATCGCAGGACTATCAAAAACTAAAGATGAAAAAGGACTCTTGAAAGCATCAGAGCAGTTCACTGAAGAGAAAGGATCCTAAGTATGGTCATCAGTTAGCTGGGTGCAGTAGTACATCCTGGTAACCTTGGCATTGGGAAACTGAAACTAAGGAGTTGTAGGTTTAATGTAGGCCTGAACTATCAGTGAGGCCCAGGTCATCCTGGGCTACTTAGTACCACTGTCTCAAAAACAAATTAAAAAAAAAAAAAAGATTATCAGTTAATTTCTCAGCAGAACCTTTGTAGGCCAAAAGACAGTAAGGTCATATTAATGAAAGAAAAAAAATTGACTTAACACTATCAATTAAAAATTCAGTGTCTGATGAAACAGAATTGTCCCTTAGAAATGAAAGCAAGATTAAGATTCACAGACAGTGGGCTAAAGGGGCTGACTATAACTACCCCTGCTATGTAAGAAATGCTAAAGATGGCTGAAGTGGAAACTTTCTAGTTTCTGTGGAAAATCAGTTATGTCAGATGATGATTTGCTGGGGCACACAGGTGAAAGACTATCTTGCTAAAGCAGACATGTGAAAGAATGCTTCCCTGAAGCAGAGAAGCAGACGCAGGTGAACAGACACGTGATGAAGGAGCTTAAACATGATCGCACACACAGTAGGAGTTAGAGCGTTGGTTTGGTTTGCTCTGCCTCGCTACTCTATGCTAACGACCCTCCGTGTATTGGTTCACCTTACATGTTGTCGAGCTCCACTTGGGGTGACGCTGCCATTGAAAGAAACTTACCGAAGAACTGCTCGACCTCTTGCTGCTTCCGCAGGCAGCCTCGGACCAGTTGGCTCTTTAGGATTGAATTACAGCTGCTGATTCGTGCATAGCGTCTGCCTGCCGAGAGGACTGGACTGTACCTGTTGATTCCTGTTTGCTATGGGACTGAACTGGGGACAAAGAAGACGGAGCTCATCCTCCTCCCCAACCCCCCCACCCCCCGAAAAGAACTATCGCTAAACAGGTCCACTTCCCCCATATCTAACAACTTTTCTCTTCCACTACCTTCTAGCAGGTGGTGGGCAAGAGGAGAGGTTGAACCCTTAATAGGCTACAAAAATTTTATGCCTACAGATTGCACTGGAACTTGGGATGAGAGGATGCTACAGAGCAGTATTTAAAAAAACAAAAACAAACCCACACTACAAATACCTCTGAAAAGGCATAACTTAAAAATCCTAGCTTAGTAATAAAAAAATCTGGCTCAATAATAAAATGCTTGCATGACTTGAATGTGGCCCTAGGTTGAACCCCCAGCAACAGCAACGAAAATAATGTTACAATAATTATGTAAAAGACAAGCATGTGGAAGATATAGATGAGCCACCACATAAAAGCAGGCGTGGGACCATCCATCTGTAATCCCTGCACTTAGGAGGTAGAGGCATGGGACCATCCATCTGTAATCCCTGGATTTAGGAGGTAGAGGTGGGAAGATGAGGAATTTAAAGCTATCCATTCATGGACAGCAAGTTAAAGGCCAGCCTAGACTACATGAAACCCTGCTTCAAAAGAAAAGAAAAAATAAGACATAGATTTACTGTAGCGTATGTACAACATTTAAAGATACAGTTATTTTGATATTAATAAAATTACATAGGGACAACGCAGCTGTAAATATAGTTGTCCTGTCTAAGTCAAGTTGGGCTAGGCACGCTACGTAATCCCAGTATTTGGAAGACGAAGGCAAGGAGGAAAAAGAAACAGCCTGAGGTAGACAGTGAGTCCAAAGGCCAGTCTGATCTACACAGTGAGATCATGTTTCAAAAAAACAAACTGTTACAAATTTTAAATAAATTGTTCTATTTTATAAGCAAAAAAAAAAAAATCACAATTATCACATGACATAGCAATTCTTCCTTAGGGTATATACACAAAAAATTAAAAACAGAGACTTGAGCAGGTATTGATATATTTGTGTTCACATCAGTATCATTTACATCGACAAAAGGTGGCAACAATCCAAACATACATGATCCTATGAAAGGGTATACGTACACACCCCCACACACACATACTATGAAGTATTAATCACCTCGAGGAATAAAACCTGACATGTTATAACATAGTTGCATGAAGTAAGGCAAACACTAAGAGACAAATATACAATTCTACCTATATGAAGTACAAGAATATTCAAAATCGTGGAGACCTAGGCAATTCAGTGAGCAGGTGCCAATGGCGGGAGGCAATCAGGACTTGATACAGGCTCAGAGACAGTACTGCATACCATCAGATGAAGATGACAATGACATAAAACTGTAGGGCACAGATGAGACTTGGGATTATAAGTGTGAAGAAAAGTCATAAACACTGGGACTTGGGCAGGGATCTCACTCACACCTCAAAAGGACCATTCTGACAGCTTTTCTGAAAAAGAAACTACTGAGGGATTTTTAACAAGATGGCTGACTTTAACCATGGTGGTATGACAGTGGGAATCAGGAGACGGAATAGATGAGGTTCAAGTTTACTTCTGAGGAGGGGAGAGGTAAGTGGGTGAGCACAGCACACACCAACATGTGAAAAAAAAAAATTAGCCATAAAATTTTAACTGTTCTGGGCTTCAGACTAATGTTGGAAAAAGGAATACAGGACCTAATCATATACTCATATTTTAATATAAATTTTATGAACAAAACAAAGTTCTAGAGAGTCTACACGGTGAGAAACAAGGTTAGGAACAAGGAGCAGGCCAGTTCCTGCATCTCCTTACTCCCCCATTCCCTTTTAGTCAGTGTCATCGAGAAACCTGGTGGCCAGTAAGTTCAGAGTTAGATATTGATTTTGGAAACAGTTTATTACTAGAGTAGTTAAGATATGGCTGTGAGTGTAGGAAAAACTGTTTAAGTGTGTCATTTTTAAAGTCACTTAGGCACGAGAGCTTATGCACAACTTCGTGAAAACCGGAACAAATCAGGCTTTATATTTGACTAGGTATACTGGGAGGAAAACCTTCCATTTTACGCATTGTAACTCAAAAACAGTTCTATAATTAGTTGAGTCCTTGTGCAACACATACACCCAAGCTGAAAATATAGTGCGTACATTAAGATACACTTTTTGTGGCTGGCCTCACTCATAAACCAATCAACTGTACACGGTCTGTGTTTATTCATCCTTACAATTAAACAGGCAGAGAAGTATTTTGCTTGGGATGAAACAAACTTTTGATTTTTCCAAAGTGATACTACATTGGTATAAAAGCTGGCAAACTTGTGTATCCCAAAACTTGGTTTCAAATCCAGACAACTGAAACACGGCTGGAGAGATACCTAATGAATTTGACCCATCCTTTCCCCCAAAGTATTACATACAATTAAAATACAGTAGTGTTTGTATACAAAACACCGAGAATTGGAAGATACGTAGGTAATGGGAAGAGAACTCTTCAACAACTATGGTTTGCAGTTTGCAGACTAGGATAATCTTCTCTAGGAAGAAAAATGTCACATAGCAGCACTCTATCCCCAGGGATGTGCAGAGCTGACAGCTCCGTCAGGTGACAGGAAACCAGACCTTCTGGCTGCTCACGATGTCACTGAGTTTCCCCTTGATCTTCAGGAAGTGTCTCTTGAACTCTAGTCCATCACCCTATTTTAGGAATAATATAAATTAAAAATATTAAAAAAAAAAGATTGTGTCAAAAGAGCACATTCTCATTCCTGGTCAGGGAAACAAACACTCTTAAATATGTCCTTCTTTGCGTGTTCTTCTGAGAACACTGGATTGCAGGTATGCACCAAGATCCCAGCTTACTTATGCATTCCATATAAATCTGGCTTGTTTGAACATGATTTTATAACAATTTAAGGGTTTCATTAGAGTAGAAACCTTCATAATTTAATTATACACCAGGAATCTAGAAAAGAATTATTCCAACCAGTCTTCTACACACAGACCATGAATTACTTCTCAATCTTTTCTAGAGTCACACATAAACTCTCAGAAAACAAGACGTTATACTGCTTAGGTTTAATACAGAATAGGCCTTTAAACTACAACTAATAGGTAAGCAAAACAACAATATTAATCTTAAAATCTGTGAAGTTCATTGTGTTATAATGTACAAGCTTTTTAATGTCATAGCTTTTATTTAAAAAAATAAGCATTCTGTAAATGGGGTATGCTCTTCTAGCTGAGCTGCCTAATCTGGCCTCAGTGGGAGAGGACATGCCTAGCCTCCCAGAGGAATCCCAGGGGGCTCCCCACTCTCTCAGAGGAGGAGGGGAGAGGAAGATTCCCCTTTCAGGTGGGAAGGGGAACGATTGTGGGGAGGGGTGACTGGGAGGAGGGCAGTGAGCGGGATGTAAAGTGAATAAGTAAAAAATAAAATAAAAATTAAAAGATAGGTACTATATATGAATCAAAATAATTTAAGTATTCCAAAATAGCATGAATTGTGTCAGGAGATATAATTTAAATTTTTCTTTTAGTTTTCATTTATCTATATATTCTATAAAAAAAAAAAAATTAGGTAGAACAGAGTCCCATGTAGTAGTTGAATTTCTGATCCTCACCTACTAAGTGCTGGGAATACAGACAGATATTGCCATGTCTGGCTTTATGTGTGCCAGGCATCCAGTCTCAGAGCTTGTACATACTAAGCAAGCACTCTAAACTGTCATTCACCCCTAGCCCTCGATTTTTATACTAAGGAAAATGTCAGGAGGCAGAGGGGAAGAGAGGGAGAGAGAGGAAAAAACAAAAAATATTTTAGAAAGACAGATGATAGCAAAAGTCATGTTTGTAACAATAAATGAAAAACAAAGTGAGTTACAATATATTTACAAATGCCAACTAACTAGTTATATTCATGTGGCTATACTCCAAAACTTTCTATGGAAGTCTGAAACCACATAGGATGAAACCTTACAAGGCATACATCATCTGCATTCCTATGTATACATAGCTAAGTCTGTAAATACAGCATAGTAAAAGCAGCAGAGTTAGTAGCAAAATAGAACAATTATAACAATGGTCTATAATAAAATTGCCAGCATTACTGCCCTTACCCTCTGGAGCCATTACTAAAGCTACCCCCAAAACAAAAGGCATGCAATACTTCTACAGTTAATATGAAAACCAAAATATGTAACAGGCAAGTAATATATAGAGCATGATCAAAAATATATGCATAAAATATCTACTCTAGGCAAAAAGAAAATGCAGATCCTAGTTGGGAATGGGGTAAGACAGTATAAGAATTCACCATGCTAATCAGAATTGTGTTCAACCCACAAAGCTTCAGAAAGCAATAGTGCAGCAGGGTGGACCACTGTATGTAAAGTATAAAGCCATTTGAAAATCTACGACTTCCAGTCTGGGCCCGAGCACAGAGCAGATCCCGGGCGGCAGCTCTGCACTCAACCTCACAAAACTTGGTGGAAGCGGGGCTCCCAGGAGCTCTAATCTGGGCAGTATCTCAGGTAAAAATGAATCACCTGTGATGTCTGCTGTTAGAAGTTCTAATCCTAATGCTGGCCTCCAGACTTATACTACTCAGACCTTCGATGGGCCATTGACAAGGACATCAAACAGCTAGATACTGACATCACTAATCTGAAGAAATCCCTTGTTTTGCTGTCTGAAGAGATCTCCAAAAATTGCAAAGGACTTTATGGGACTTGATTTACTCTTTTACAATAGAAAAGACTGTACAGCTCTTGACTGTGTACAGCCCTTAAATAAGAATGTTGCCTTTACATAGACAAGACAGGGACGGTTAAAGAGAGCATGAAAAAGGTCAGAGAAGGCCCTGAGAAAAGACAGAGAGAGAAAGAGAAAGATGAAAGCTGGTACAAGAATTAGTTTTCAACCTCTCCATGGTTGATAACCACACTTCCTCCCATCTTGGGACCATTAATTGGGTTATTTTTGCTTATTTCTTTTGGTCTCTGGGCCTTAAGTAGGCTGACTAACGTTGTGAAACAACAAATAGATAATTTGGTAGCAAAACCTATTCAGATACATTATCATAAGTTAGCTATGGAGGATCATAAAACTCAAGATGAGGTTGTTACTCTATCCAAGGGTGTTCCCAATACCCATCTCCACCCAACCTAAATGAGTCGACTTCTGCCCCTAGACCAAACAGAGAGGGGCCACCCAGAACCCACTCTGACAGGTGATCTGAATTCTTGCTTAGACTTCAAGGCTAAGCACTGCAAGGGAATTTAAATAAAAGTTTAAAATATCTCTCTGGGTTCCCTGAGGGACAAGCCTGACTGCATAGGGGTTGATGTCAAACGTATCCCCTCTCCAGGAAAAAGACATCGGGATGGGTATGGCTCTCATGCCTCACTAGACAACGACAGGGGGACCGGAGCCATTACAAGGTCCCTTTAAATTACAAGGTCAGGCCTCTATCCCCGCCTTCACAAGATTAGAATCGACACAGCCCTTCTATACTTAGAGAAGGGAGGAGATGTCAGAGGCAGCCCTGCTTACACACTGAAGGCCTAAAATCAGCCATAGGCCTAAAATCAGCAGTAGGCCTGACATACTAACACAAAGTCTTGGGTCTCTGTGAAAAAAACACTGAAACGAATGGCTATAAGCTATTGTAAACAGGCAGTGTTTGTGGAAATTTACCAACCTGAGTAGTCATAGACCTTGTAAATAGGTAGCCTTGGCAGATAATACCAACTTAGATAAGGACAAGTGAATCATAGGCAGAGTCATAGTGACCTGTCCCCTGAACCTTCACCCAGTCTGTTGTGAAAGATATCTGTACTCCCCCTGAACACCTACACTCCAGCGTCATCCCCTTCCCCACATCCTGTCTTTTTGTGTTTATAACCCTGTGTGAATAAGGAAAAATTACAATTTGATTTAAAAAAAAAAAAAAAGAAAGTGCATTATCAATGACATTTGATTGGAGCACATGTGTTCAGAGGTTTTAAGTTTCATCTGTCTATGAAATAGCATTTAATTTTCCATAATAAACATGGTATAAAACAAAACAACAAAAAAAGAAAATCTACATAGAAAAATACTATGAATGAAATGTATCAAAAATACCTTAGAAAGCCGGAAGTCAACCAGTATCTTCTCATCCATTTCTACCAAATTTATTTTGAAAATCAACTTATTGTTTCTTCTATCAGTTGTTGATACAGTGACCTAAGGCAATAAACATGTCAAGCCACATATATACATGAACACAAAATACTCTTAACAATTTTTGTTTAACAGAGTGTCATGAACAACACTACACATTTCAAGGCTAGAGAGACGGATGGCTCAGGTTAAAAGTACTTGCCACTCACTTTTCCAGAGGACATGTCAGGGGGCTCCCAACCACCTATGATTCCAGTTCCAAAGGATCTGATGCTTCCACAGACACTGACATACACATGTACAGACACACTCTTTACATATAAGTATAAGATTAAAAAAATAAATTTAACAAAAAAGAGAAATCTCTCTCTCAAATCTAAACCAAGCTGTAAACTAGAACTTTAGTCTAAGTGAACTTTCAGTAGAAGGCATTTTAGCAACACAGAATTGAAATAAAAAACAATCAAAAAGAATAGGAATAAAGACTGGAGGTGTAGCTAAGTGGCAAGGCATTTGCCCAGCATAGACAATGCCTGGGGGCTCAATCCCCAATACTGTAGCCAGTCAAGCAGTCAAATATATATGAGAAAGAAAACAAGATTATTACAGTACAAGGTATGAGCATGGTGGCTCACACCTTTAATCCCAGCACTCAGGAGGCAGAGTAAGCAGATCTCTGTGAGTTCCAGGTTAGCCTGCTCTACAGAATGAGTTCCAGAACAACCAGGGCTCCGTTACACAGAGAAACCCATCTCAAACAAATACAAAAACAAACAAACAAAAAAACAATACAAGAAAGAAAAGGAGAAGTTACTTGAGGCTGAAAAGCTGGAACAACAATAAGATGATAGTGAGCTCGGGTGAGGTGACTGGTGTGAGAGAAAGAGCCAAGAGCCAGCACCAAGACCCCAGACATGGAGGCGAGGACGGACGGCTTAATATAATATACTAACTTTAGGGGTTGTTAAAAAGACAAGACAGACAGAAACAAACACATACAAAAAAAAAAAAAAATTCTTAAAACTTTCAATTGTTTCTTTTTCAAATTAATTACTTACATTTTTAGACCGTTCACTGACCACTGATAACTTTTACTCAAATATTTCATTTTCTACGGGAAAAGAAATACCGAAAACTAACAAAAAATACCTGATTCATACAACTCTTCTTCCACTGATAGCCCAACTTCTCAAAGGTCTCCTTCAGGCATTGGTAAGATTTGTCTGCGTCCAATTTAGTAAAGAATCGTGTCATCCTTTTCACCAAGCGCTGCCAGGGGTTCTGCACAACAAAGAAGAAAGTGGAATAAATAAATCCAGTGTGACCACAGTTTACAGCAATTACTCTGAAATTCTTTAACTTAGGCATCCTTCCGATAATGGCCTCCTCTAATTATTTCTTACTTATCCAAATAATATGTATCAACTAAAAGTATTAATTCCATATACCTACGATTTAAGACATCAACAGTAAAAAGCAACAGTTATTTATTTGAAAACTCGAGCTCCTTACCTGTGAGGATCCAGGGGTGCCAAGTAACTGACTGTTTACAAGCATATGATCAGGACACGTAGGCTGGGAGAAACTGATGCCCTGTACCAGTTTGTCCACATTCGAGGGACCAGTGTCCCACAAGGAAAGCCCTGTCCGTGGCTCTGGCTGGGAACTGGAGAACTTCACGTTTTCTTCACTGAGACATTAAGAAAGAAGAAAAGTATGGCTTCAATTCTTTGTTTTTAAGGTGGCTTCGTTCTTTTTAATGATTTACTTGGTCTTTGTTGTGTTTGTTTGGTTTTTTTTTGAGACAAGGTTGCATCTTGTTGCCTAGATTGGCCTGACACTGTCTATCCTCCTGCCTCAGCCTTCCAATTAGCAGTTACCTGGGACTGTAAGTGTGTATAAGTACAGAGTCAGACTAAAAATGTCTTTAAATAAAACCCACCAGGATTTTCTTATACCACACGATCATTCTCATTTTGGTAAAATTTCCATTATTAAGTAAAATATATACATGTTTTATTCTTTATGGGGAATAATGACATTTAAGAAACAGACTTAATCTGCCAATCCATGGTGATGCAAACTTGTAATCACAACACTTAGGAGGCAGACACAAGAGAATCAATACAAGTTTAAGATCAGTGTGGGCTACCCAGTTCCAGTTCAATCAAGGTTACTTAGTAAGACACTATCTCAAAATAAATAAATAAATAAATAAATAAATAAATAAATAAATAACAATAATTTTTGTAAGTCTTACCTGGAACCACTATTTATGGGAGAAAAGTCCAAATTGGAATGAATGTGCTTAGAGAACCCACTACAAGACTCTGACATACCACCTGAAGTGGCACGTGGCCTCTTTGCTCCTAAAAACAAAAAAGAGAACAAATACAAATCTTTTATTCAAGTATTTAATCCAGTTAGCAATTTGAATAAATAAAGGTACATCTAAATCCATTTACTGACTGCAAAGTAATATAAACATTCTTTTTTCCTTAAACAATTATATGTTTAAACAAAGAAATGTCACACTAATGCTTCAGTAAGGCCACAATTTTAATCCTATCTTTTATGAGTAACATGATGTTCAACAGAAGACTAGCTCAATAACTAGAACTTTAAATTTCTTCAATAACTCAGTAAAGAATGACAGTCAATACAAAATAAGACTTTCAGCTAGACTGCAACAGTTCATACTACTTGTCTCCTCACACTCGCTAAGAAAGATTTCAAAACTTCTATTCTCTTCTGAAATTATCAATACCACCCACTACTCCATTAACTCACATGCTACGAATGTTCCATCCACAATTTGGTACTTTTTCTGTTTCTTGGTTTCCACTCTCCACTTAAACTTAGCTTAACACAGTTTAAATTCCCCATAATTGGTATCTGAAGCTTAGTGTTCTCTCTCTCTCTCTCTCTCCCTCCCCGTCCCTCTCCCCCCCCCCCCCCCCCCCTCTCTCTCTCTCTCTCCCTCTCCCTCTCCCTCTCCCTCTCCCTCTCCCTCTCCCTCTCCCCTGGAGAGCTTACTCAGCTCCATAAAATCAAAGTCTCCTCCCAAGTTACCAGAAGAGCACCTACGGGGGTGGGGGTGGGGTCAGCATGAAATTTTCATATACTATCGTAATCTAAGCACTCAACAGTCCAATCATTTCAACTTCTTGGAATCCATCACCTTTCTACAATGCCACCGCCACTAACGTATCCCAAGCTACCATCTTCTCACATCTAAACCACTACTGTAAGAATCCCACTTAATCTCTTCCTACTCATCAAAAGTAATGGAAGAGTATTCAGAAAGATCACTTAAAGCCAAACACATTGTCTTGTCATTTTCTTGCTTAAAGCCCCTCAAACTTGTCCTAGTGATGATGGGCTCCAGGATAAATCCTAAACACAGCCGAGAGAGGCCCTCCTATAACTTGACTATCTGCCTTTCCTAAATCAACTCAAACCTCCCCTGCATCTCTATCCATTCACTCAGTAAGCATTTCCTGAGTAACACTGGTTAATGAAGAAGAAGAAACACAAGGTCTGTGTCATACTGAACTGACCCTTTAAGTTCTTCAAATATACTTGGCCCACTAAAAATCTAAGATTTGTCCAAATGCTGCTGCTTCTGCTCAAAGTCTAACGTGTTTCACCAACTAGCACCCTTTAATCTTCAAAATTTAGACTTCACATCACTTCCTCATGAGGGAGAAAAAAAAAATCTTTGTTTTATTAGATTCCATCAAACATTGAGATATAGCACTCTTTTTAGCTGTTAATGAATGAAGTTAGTTTTCACATTTGTTTTTCCTATCAGATATTAAAATCTTCATTTGGACAGACCATAGTTACTTTATGACACTGGTTTTGTTATTTCGTAAGTATCTATGTTTTACAACAACAACAACAACAACAAAAAAGAGTGTACTTCTTTTTACCTCTGTTAAGCGGTTTGTTGTACCATCTATCTTTTTTAATATCTGGGATTGTGATCCTTGCTGATGGATTCTCTACTAGAATTTTATGAAGCAAAGCTGAAAAGAAAACAAGACAGTATTTGTAAAAGAGGTAAAGCAGATTAGACAAACCTTAAGAGACATAAAAGCTAGAAACGTGGCATACGCCTACAACCTCAATAGTTGAGAGGCACAGGCAGGATGCTTGAGGCCAGCTTGGGAAATATATATTAATTTTAAAAAGAACTCATACAATTCCCCACATCATAACATCAAAAATGTAACCCTAGTAAGGCTTGTAAGATGTAAGGCTAGTGAGATGGCTCAGCAGTTACCAGCAACCACATGGTAGGTAGCTCACAACCATCTATACAGAGATCTGATGCCCTCTTCTGGCATGTAGGTATACACGCAGAAGAGCACTCCTACACTTAAAAAAAAAAATACACACATAAATCAGTTATTTTAAACCAGGAATGAAAAGTGACTCAGCTTGCAGTCCCAGCATTCAGAAGGCTGAGAAGATTGCCATGGTCAGATCCAGCCTGAGATTCAGGCCAGCATAGGCTAACATAGACCTTGTCTCCCAAAATAAAAAACATAAAAAACTTAAAAAAGTCAATGACAGTCAAACATAAAAATTAAACCACAGAAACACCAAATGAGAACACATAGAATTTTACCAAGAAAAAAAAAAAAGAGAGAGATAATAGAAAAGACCTTTCTAAGCATGGCAATATAGGTCAAAAATCACATATGACCAGAATTTAGGTATGAAAAATTTAAAACATCTGCACATTAAAATATACAGCAAAATTAAAATAAATAATAAACTCTAAGAAATACTGTAACAAATGTTAAATATGTTAATGCATTTTTAAAAAAACCCAAAGGATTAAGAAAAACTATAAATTTCATTGCTTAAACAGAGCAAAACTTAAAAAGCTAGTAAGTTACATACTTGGTATTAATATTAAATTTAAAGTAAAATTTAAGAAACAGCATCAGTTACAGTCTTACTGGTTAAAGAGAATTCATTTTTGCCAGGCATAGTGACGTACACATTTCATCCTAGTATTCAGTAGGCAGAGGCAGACCCAATCTCTCTGAATAAGAAAGTCAGCCTGGTCTATTATATAGTTAAGTTCCAAGCCAGCTTGGTCTACATACTGAGTTCCAGGCCAGTCCAATCTACATAGTGAGTTCCAGACCAGCCAGGGATACAGTGAAGCCCAGTGTTTCAAAATACAACAACAAAGTAGCATGAATAAATGAAAAAAATGATACAAACTTAAAAAAGTAAATTTGTCAAATAAGTCATATCACTTACAAAAAAAAATACATACAATCCCTGCAGTCTTGCTTGTGGGAGAAGAAAAAAACTTTCAGCAAATACAGGGCACACAGCCATCAAGATAGACAAGCATCAAGACAGACAGACAGACAAGCATCAAGTAACATGGATGCTTATTGTACTTCTTCTCTAAAAGTAAAATTAAGGAAAAACCTAAATCTCTAAACTAGAAGAGTAAACACAGCCACATAATGAGTACGATCATTATGTGTCTTTAAAAATATGACCCAGGCCCATAATTAATGATGTAGGAAATGCACAGCATCAAAACTAAAGTGAGTTACGAAATAGGATTTACCTTTTGCAAAAGCATATACTTATAACTAATATACATATAGAATACATTTGCTATATATATTTTTTCATGAAAGCATAGGCATATATATCAGGATATTTTTAAAAGGCTATTTCCAAATGACACAATTAGAGTTGTTTCCTCCCTCAGTCTTGACTTACATTTTCTAAGGTAGCTAAAAGAACTACGGAGAAAAAAGAAGGAAGAAAGAAGACAGAAAAGAAGAAAGGAGGAAGAAGAAGAGGAAGAGGAAGAAGAGGAGGACTACGACAATGACAGCAAGGAGAAGGGAAAAAAAAGAAAGAAGATTAAGAAAAATCAACTACCATGACACTATTACCCACAGAATCAATACTTTCAAACAATCCAGTTACCTAGAGGAGCAGAATCAATTTTTTTCCAAGGATTGAGATAGATTTTTTTTTCTTTCCAATCAGAGTACTCCTGACAGCTATCACTGGGCTGGTCCCACGGCAATTCTAAAAATAAAACAAGTTGCAGTTTTCTGAGTGTTCATAAAATTATCTAACAAATATTTTGAGGAAAACTAACCATGCAAAAGGAAAATGAACAATACATACAAAGAATACAATTTTCTCCCACAGTAATTCAATATGGTTTTCACACTAGTTTCACAGAAACTTACTCTGTTCAAAGGAATCATACATATTAAAGCTGGAGATACAACTTAATGACAGAATTTTTGCCTGGCAGGTGTTAGGCCTTAGGTTTAATCTCCAGTAACCCCAAAGGAAGTGTTGAGATTTTTAATTTAATGGTTATACTTCATGAAAATAAACCTCTGGGTTACGAGTTTCAAAGTAGTTAAGAATAAGATGTAAATTATAATGGGTTAAATGTTTGTTTTCCTCATCCCCAAGATAATGAGAGTTTATTTGGAGGATCTAGTAGAGACTGAAGCTACTCAGTGCACCTGACTGAAGGCTGACCCTCCTCTATCCAAGGAAAGTTGTCCTCTTCAACTGAGCCACAACAGCCTCACCAGGAAGACCAGCCAAATCAACCCCAGTGATCAACAAAGGGCAAGCTGCTGCAGCCGGATCGCTCTCTCTCACATTCCCAGTGGGATGATTTTGGAGGTGGGGCCTTTGTGGGGGTGACTGGGTCATGAGTATGAAAGCCCTCAAAAGTGAGATTTGGGTCCTTATAAAGACACTAAAGAGTCTGCCTCTCCTCTCAGTAAGGTGGTCAACTGCAAGGCAGGATGAGAGAGGCCCCTCAGAAAAAGACCATGCTGGCCACTTCACCACCCAGACTTCAAGCCTTCGTGATCTGTATGAAATAAATCTGCATATAATGCACTCACTGAATGGCACTCGGTAACTGCAGTCCAAGGCAATGAGTTATAAACACTAAGATAAAACTATTAGAGCGCTGGAAAGGTGCACCCACGATTACAGGCTGGGCTCACAACCTTTCTATTACAGAGTTAAGATTCCTTTGGGTTATTTCACTTTTATTTTGGTATAAGAAATCTGACTTTTCAGAGAAAAGAAGTTCTCTCATGATCGATTATACAGCCGTACCTCCAGCCAACATTGCAGTAAGTACGATTCCACAGGACCAAACATCGACTGGTTCTGCATGAAATTCTTTTCTTTTTAGAAGCTCGGGAGCAACGTAAGGTAAAGTCCCACACATCTTGTTCAGTAAGCGTTCACGGTTATTATGCCGAAACACTGTGGCCAAGCCAAAGTCAGAGATTTTGAGGTTATCTAAGCCGAAAGGAAAAAAGACAATATTGGATTAAAAGATTTGCAAGTATACATACACATATATAAATTACTGGAAACGACACTGGTTTTGCTTAGGGGTTATAGAACTTTTCTACCCGAAAATGAGCAAAAGAAATCTATGTATGTCACGAGCTGGTCCAAGTCACATCCCCCAACCCCACCCCCGACCAGTGGGAGAGGGTATACCTAATCCTGTGGAGACTTGATGCTCCCCAGGGGATAATGAGGAAAAAACCCTCTCAGAGGCAAAGGGGAGGAGGGAAGTGGGGAGGAACTCTTAGAGGGAAGACAGGGAGGGGGGCAACATTTGAGATGTAAATAAATAAAATAATTAATAAAAAAAATCTATGTATATGTAAAAGAAGAAAAAGTAAAAGGCACCGTCATTTATGTCAAACTTAGCAAAGACCTCATCTTCTGTTTTGGTTTGTTGGTTTTTCGAGATAGGGTTTCTCTGTATAGCCCTGGCTGTCCTGGAACTCACTCTGTAGATCAGGCTGGCCTCGAACTCAGAAATCCACCGGCCTCTGCCTCCCAAGTGCTGGGATTAAAGGCGTGCGCCACCACTGCCCGGCAAGACCTCATCTTCTTAACTAAAGAGAAATATCATCAACAGAAAAACCAGTTTGCACCAGGTTAAATAAGGATGCTGTAGATGCCCTCCTGGAAAACAAACCCAGGAAGACAGCCGAGCAAAGCCCTTCACCGAGGACTGTGGAGGGTAAGGAGTCATGGCCAAAGCTGGTGACTAGGCATGGCTTCCTTGCATGCAAGTAACAGGCACTGTGTCAGCCAGTGCACATAAGAAATAAAATCAGTGAGAGACCGATAATAAACTGTGGTTATACTGGCTATAAAAGTACAGACATCAGAAAAGGTTGGAGCAAAGAGATCAACAAAATTAAGGAAAATCCTATTATCAGGGATTATAAGTAAGTACAACCTTTTTAAAAAGCAGTCTGGCCAAAGTGTCAAGATTTGAAATATTCACTCTTTGAACTAACAATTCTTACTAAGACCATATTCACCCACGGCAGAAATTCTACGAATTCACAAATATAAGGATATCTGTAATAGTATCAGTTGTAAATGTTATCAATAAATGACAAGATCTTATATCTGTACAATGAATACGGAAGTAGTTAAAGTATATGTACTCATATGGAATCAGATATGTAAGAAAAAGGCTAGTAGCATAACAAATCTCATACATAAATATTTTTATGCTGAGTAGTTATTGTACTTTAAGTTGGAAGCAAACGCTACCAAAATAAAAGCACCATTAAAAATCAATTATGTTCACACCACATGACATATAAATCACTCACTGAATTGTTTACCTATATTTAATTTGGGGAAATATAGGTTGCAATTACATCTTTTTAATAACCGTATATGATAAAATCTAGACCAACCACTAAGATTACAACTTCTAGATAGCAGTCACTTTGAATACTAACAGTTTAGCACAGTTTAGAATTTTTTGGGTTTGGTTTCTCATCGCATCTACAACATAATATTGTTAAGTTAGAAAACTACACAAGTCAGGCGGTGGTGGCGCACGCCTTTAATCCCAGCACTTGGGATTCTGAGTTCGAGGCCTGCCTGGTCTACAGAGTGAGTCCTGGGACAGCCAGGGCTACACAGAGAAACCCTGTCTCGAAAAACCAAAATAAAAATAAATACAAAAGAAAACTACACTTAATAAATCCTAAATTTGGTGGCCTAACTTAGAAATATATGTGTCTATGAAGAACAGAAGGAAAAAATTTATATACTGGTAGCATTTTGTTTCTTTAGCTTATTAGTTAACAAATACTAAATAGAAACAAAATAAATATACAAGAATAACATCATAATGAAAATGCGCTTACCAGACACTCATCTTAACATTTGTATGAGATTCTTAAATTAATAAAGTCATATTTAAGTCAGGTGATGGCAGTGGCAGTGCACACCTTTAATCCCAGCAGAGATTAAAGGGAGGCAGAGGTAGGTGGATCTGAGTTCAAGGCCAGCCTGGTTTACAGAGCTAGTTCCAGGACAACCAGTGCTACACAGTGAAACTGTCTCAAAAAAATACCTAACGAGACAGAGAGAGGGAGAGGGAGAGGGAGAGGGAGAGGGAGAGGGAGAGAGAGAGAGAGAGAGAGAGAGAGAGAGAGAGAGAGAGAGAGAGACAGACAGAGACAGACAGAGAGAGACAAAGAGAGAGACAATGAGAGAGAGAGAGAGAGAGAGAGAGAGAGAGAGAGAGAGAGAGAGAGAGAGAGAGAGAGAGAGACTTGAGAG